TTGTGAGAGCTGGGAAAAACCTGTGTAAGAAAATGTTTTGTAATCTGAAAATCACTGTAAGAACTATGAAGAGGTATATAAATATTAGTGTATTTATTTGGGCAGGATGACTAAGGTGAATGTAGAAATGAGAGTAGGTTTATTTTAGTCACTCATCCTTGGACACAGTGGTGTTACTCTTGTGTGGTAGTTTTATTTTCCCAAAGTATGGTATGTTGAAATCAAGACACAGACCATGATGACAAGGATTATTGAAACCTAGACTTGACTTGTGATTAGGAAAAGGGATAGATTCCATCGCATTAAAGTTTCAATGGCTTTCCTAAACTAAGTGAGAAAAATGGAACCAATTAGTGTGGAATTTCATCAATGTTCCATTGAATTTTGAATTTAAGTTCTTACAATTTACTTATTATCTTTAAGAAGTACTTACACATCCTTCTATGAGCTTTGGAAAATGATAATAATTTTATTCTTTTTATAAGTCATTGCTAGTGTTAGTGAGTCCAAACTCATCCTGCTTGCCACATGACAGGCCAGTAAATCGGGAGAATGAGATGTTTGTTGGGGCAAGGAATAATGACTTTATTCAGAAAGCTGGTCGACCAAGAAGATGGGGGATGAATGTCCTGGAGAACCGTCTTCCCCAAGTCAGAATTCAGGCTACTTTTACACTAAAAGGGGAGGGGGTGTGGTTGGTTGTTGCAAACTTCTTGGTGTCAGAATCCTTTGTTCTTTCACCTGTCCCTGTAGATCAGGTCATAATGTCCCTATAAACCTCCAATAAGACACATGTTATTCTCTGTTCTGCAACTTTTTATCTCTATATGAATGGAAAAGTGTTACACCCTTAAAGGTCAGAGCCTTGAGGATGGGCTCTCCTGTCTATGTCAGGCTCTAGGCAACATCCTTTTACAAAAGGTGCAGAACCAGCATGACTGAGCCCAGGAAACAGAGCCCAGGGTTAGAGCCAAAGGAACAGATCTAATATGGAGTCAGATTTGTTCTTTGTTGTTACAGCAGTAATCACAAATGTTAGTATCCTTAGGAATTTGATCTTAAGTGAGCAATTTCTCAAAGGAAGCAAAAAAAAAAAAAAGGAAGCAGTTTCCATGGAGTGCTACTCCTGGACTCAGTTTTATTTCAGATGGTACCATTTAATCTCTATCAAATGGTTGCATCTTAGCTTTTTGCACTTCTTCCTGAAAACCTGCTAGAGGACCTGTGTTAATTTCAAACAAAAGCAAGCAAAAACAGTTTTTACCAATAGCAAACGAGTTTCCAGGAAGAAGATACTAATTCTGCCGAAATCTAAGAAGCCATTCACCAAACAGCATATGGACTGCAGGAAAAAACTCGGCAAGCAAGAGCCAGCTCACCATTTGGAACTTTTAAAAATATAATTCAGGAGCAAGATATTAGGGGATAATGATGACTATCTCACAGGGTTGTTAAAAATAGTAAATAGCTAGTGGATAAGGAAACATCTGGTCAGTGACCTGCAATTTTGAGTGGCTCCTCTATAAATGTGAGTTGAGTAGATGAGCGAGATTTGGAAAGAATGAGGCATCAAGGGAACACAGCCTACAAATAATGCTCTTTCTTTTATTTTTTTTCTATGCCAGCCAAGACCCTCTCCCTTATAGATTCGTACAAATGACCACAGAGAAAAGTTCATTTGACTGACTCAGACAACAATTATTACAGGCTTTTTGTGTCTTTTCAATCATTCAAATGATTTTTACTTCCAAAATCTGCCATTGAAGATTCTGAACCACCTAGATTGGGATTTGAGGTCACCAAAAGACTCAATTTTACTCTCTCTGTCTACTGGCAGGGAGGAACTATTCTCAAGCATCTGGACTGGCATAGAAAAGAGGAGAAAGAACATTTAAAAGGTAAGCAAAACATGTGTTTTTGTTTACTCTACATTTTCAGCCTGTTCTCCCACACTCTCAGATAATCTCACCTGATCAAGGCTTGTCCAGTGAACCCTAGTAAAGAAGAGAACGTTTTAGGTGGACGGACACTCTTTGCTGATTCTTCCACAGGAACAAGTGTAGACTTGAACAAGCCCTCCTTTCTTAATGGAAGTCTTTTCTGTCCTGGTGCTTCTAAATTTCCGCCTCTGTGCCAGTGTTTCAGTACTGTTGTCATGTTGCTCGTGCTCTTCAGACTGCAGTGTGCTTGCTGAAAAACCTCTGGTCTCATTTCTGTATTGTCTGATAAGTCAAAGATCTGGCATATTATTTGGACTGTTCCGGTGTAGCGAGGGTTAGAAGTGTGTTTTGCAAAGTGTAATCGATTATTCTGGTGTTTTTTGACTTTTTTCCCCCTCTTTCACGTCTATTTATTTTCTTTGGAGGAAAATACTGAATAAAAGGACCTTGTTAATTACTGAGTAAAAGGCTTAATACATATTTTTATCAGGTTTTGTGAGTTTTGTTTGTTTGGTTTGGTGTTTTGCTTGCCCATCATGGATCCTTTGTTTGGGTTACCACAGGGCGATCAGATCTTAAAGCCTGACCACTAGTTGTTATAAAATAAGTATTTTGATGGTGTGTGTGGTGGTGCTGGAATAGATCTCTGGAAATTTAAATCATGTAGTTTAAATGGTTAGTTGTTCTTAAGGCTTCTGTTAGGCATAGCTTTCTTAAAAAGCCGTTATCTCAGCTTGAGCATATAACCACCATGTTATTAGTATTACTACACTTGCTGTAATTAAATTAAGTATAATTGGTACTTTCTCCTCTGTTAGTTTTCTCGGCTTTTCCTTGCCCCCTGGGCATGCATTTCTGTATCTCTGTTCCATCCTTTGGACAATGTTCCGTTTTTTTCAGGACAGGATTGGATGCACTTATAGGGAACATGGGTGGAGAGTCTCCCAACTTCAAACTTGGACTGTACGGCCACGAATTTTCAAGGAAATACTCTGTTCAGACAGGTGTGTTCTCGTGCTGGGAGGCCACGGATGCAGCAGGTCCCTTTGCTGGCCAGGGGATTAAACTCACATCAACAGTGCGAATACCATAAAGAAGGATTCTTAAATCTTGTGGCATCTGACAACGTCCAGTCTGCCAGATGTGTCCTCAGAGTCTTCCTGGAGGTCAGAAGAGAGGAGAGTAGATATTTTTGGATAATGTTGAAGGAACTAGTGGTCCTGAGGTATTAGAGAATCATGTCTCCTCACAAATGGAACTTCTTTCTGGTGGACTTGGTCAAGTCCAGTCCAGCCCCTATTTTGAATTTTCACTCAGAATTCAAAGACTTATCTTCTGGAATCTGTCCTGTCCTCTGTTTCATCTCCTCTTTTTAGACCACTTGCTTCTGGATCTTTGGTTTGTTTCTTGAACTACCATCCTAAGACTAGCTGTGGCTGAAGAATTCTGCTAATGGTTATATTCAAGCCAGTTACACAATATCTTCATGTGTATGTTTACTTATTTTTTAATGATAGACCCACGGAATGATAAAACAAAGGAAGCTGACAGGAGATAGCTTGGCATGCTTAGGTATTCTCAGGATCATGATGAAAACTGTCTTTGCTTTGAGAAATATAATTTAACTGATCTATTTTCCCACCAAAATTATGTGTTCTGTTATTAATTTATGGCACTCATGTCTTTGAAAAGCCTCACGTTTATATTTTATTAGTATTTTAACTTCCCTTTAAGATTGACGAGGGTTGTTGAACGTGGAGTGTGGGCTGGGGAGGTGACGTTTGCCTGCAGGCAGAATGGTGTGGATATTCATGAGTGTTAAGTTGGTTTGAACTTAGCCTGTGAAAGGCAGTCCTGTCCAGTGTAAGTGTACTGCATTTATTCCTGCTCTCTTGGTGTGGAATTACTCCAGAAACCAAAGATCTTGCTACACATATAACTGATAAATCTCAAATAGTGCTTATGGAACTACAAACCCTTTATCAGTAATTGACAGCATTCCGAACATCAGATGGGAGGACGTGATCTGTATGGAATTGACCAAATTTATTATTTTGCCTGCCTTTGGATGTTACTCGTAAGAAATTCGTAGGCTCATTACATATAAGTTATGTGCATTCACCTTGGAACATAAAATCCTAAATATAAGTAGAGAATCTGACTTTTCAGCGTTAATGACTGCTAAATATAATAAGATGGAAAGAAATGCATTCCTATTTGATCGTTTCTTAGGAATCATTTCCTTAGCCTAATGCAGACCTTGCCCTAAAACAGAATTTTAAATATTTTAAATATTCCCTGAGCTCATGAACGAATGGCCTTATTTGCCCTTTTTTGACAGAGGAAGTTTGTATTTGATTACCTTTTCATGATTATTACTCTTGATGAAATTGCTGGTTAACTCCATCTGAATGTTATAAATTACACGTCCAGTACAGATGGAAAATTGACAGACGCTGGTTCTCCAAACAGACGAGGTTCTCCATTGAATACATCTTTTTCTTAAATAAGCATGTTTGTTAGGCTGTACAATATGATTTTATGCTTCGTCGCGTTAGCCAGTTTTTGTCATAATATCTCATGTAAATGCATTTCGCTGCTTAAAACATTTCAGAGCTCCTAACTTTTAATGTAAACTTTCTACACTAAATAATTTAATTCAACAAGACAGTTGATTCAGTATTGAAAAATGAAATCACTATTGAACTTTTAAAGTGAATGTTTCTTTTGTAAAGCGAATTAATCCGAATTTATTTATCTCTGTTCATTCTGGTTTTGGCCTCCTTGTGGTATCTGAAATAACACAACTTAAGAATGAAAACTAATAGCATTGCCCAGACACGTTTCCCTGTAGTGGTGTGTCTAATGTGTGGTAGGCAATTATATTCATTACTAATTGGTATGAATCAAAAGCTTTAAGGAGATTCTGTGTATATATACTTGGCTCTTCATCCTGCAGGGTGATAGGTACAAAGATTATTGCTATTTGCCTCTCGTAATTGAGCTTTTGTAATTTTAAAACATTATATCCTATTGTATACAACCAAAATAGGTGATTTTTACCATTATCTTAAGGCTCAAACGCCATACAGTCAAATCGTTACCATTTCTCTGTCTCACGCCTCAACACCAGAAGAATTTTGTAGATCTTCCTTGATGTGTCCTTTATGACTCAAAGTTAAGGTATTTAAGTGCACAGACAGGGAACACCAGTGATAATCACACCAGGATAACAGGCCGGAACCACAGCCACTCCTGGAAAACCTAAACACGTCACTATGCAGTGATTTTGGTTGCATTTATAAAAATCTTAACTCTCATTGGCTTCAATAGTAAAAGTGAGGCACAGAGGTGGGCTGAGTTTGTTGTGTGGTTTGGGCTGGAATCTGGCTCCCAGTGGCTCTTCTACTGTGTATCTGTCTACCTCTGGGCACTGACTCTTCCATCAGACCGGATTCAACAGGACTGCTTATTGGATACGGCAGTTCTAAACCTCATGTCTGCACCCAAAATGGTCCAATCCCCAACTGTTGAGAAAAAATAAATAAATGAATCATTGGATTCACTCTGACTGGCCCATTAGAGCCACCCATACAGTGAGGGGGATGGACTCGTGTTGACTTTATGTATCTCTGGATTTTGTCAAAGTGGGTGTGCTTCACAGAGGGTGAGGGGAGCTGGGAGGGTGCTCACTGTGAAGACTCTCTCTGTACATGAAAGGTCTGCTGTGAACGCCCTGAACACAGGCCCTCATTTCCTGCTGTTGCTCATAGTTAGACAGGAGGCCAATGGCTGAATTCTTTTACTTCTTATTAGACACAGAAGAATTCAAACCTTTTTTAAAAAGATAGTGTTGTTACTGAGTCCAAACTCATTCTGCTCACTGCATGACAGGCCAGTAAATCAGGAGACAAGGTGTCGGGGCAAGGAATAGTGACTTTATTCTGACAGCCAGCAGACCGAGAAGATAGGGGACTAATGTCCTGGAGAACCATCTTCCCCAAGTCAGAATTCAGGCTTCTTTTCTACTAAAGAGGGGAGGGGGTGTGGTTGGTTGTACAAACTTTTTGGAATCCTTCACTCTTGCAGCTGTCCACGTGTGTCAGCTCATGGTTCCCATGTGTGTCAGCTCATGGTGCCCCTGTAAAACCTCTAACAAAACAAACATCATTTTCTGTTCTGCAACTTGTTATCTTTATATAAGTGCAAAAGTGTTAATATCTTTAAAGGTCAGAGCCTTGAGAATAAGCTCTTCTGTATATTTCAGGCTAAAGGCAACATTCTTTTACAAAAGGTGCAGAGCCAGCGTGACAGAGCCCAGGACACAGAGCCCAGGGTTAGAGCCAAAGGAACAGGTCTAATGAGGAGTCAGATTTGTTCTTTTCTGTTACAGGCTAAGGAAATGACAACATTTCTTCAAAGTTATCCTTTTCCCCTCCTTCTTCAGTCAGCGTGTAGGAGGGAATCAGAAATTGGCCATTTCTGCCAAAAAATGACAGCTTCTTGCTTAATCAATTTGATCCTTGTGAAAGTTGGATTCCGTATACATATTGAACAATTCTGATTATCTTCCCTAGCAATCTCCTATCAGAAAAACTTGGTACCTGATAATCACTTTTCTTCCTCACTGTATTTGAACTAGATAGAATATGATGACCAAAGTGTCTCCTTCATGTAATACTGATTTGTAATTATCAAGGTAGTTAATTTATACAAATATCACTTCATTTGAACTTTAAAACAGCCTCTGGTTATCTTTAATTTATTTAAAAAAAACCCCTGATATCAAGTGTCTTGCCTAAAATCACAGGTTTTATCAGCACTGATTCATATTTCAAAGTTAAAATAATGACAATAATTGTGGCATTCTCAGTCTGGTAAAATTATAGAACATGTTTTATTTAAAAATAAGTTACCATGTTTAGAAAATGGCAAATCTCAGTAATGAGTAATCTGAA